TCTGTGTGAGGGGATCAGATCCCCTGAAACTGAAGTTACAGACTTGTGCACTGCCATGTGGGTGCTGGGAATTGAACTTGGGTCCTCTGGAAGAAAAGCCAGCGCTCTTAACTGCTGAGATATCTCTCCGGGCCCCTTTTCCTCTTTCTTCATGTGTGTGTGAGGTATGGGTAAGTGATGGTGCACATGCCAGTACATGTGGAGGCCAGAGTTCATTACCTTGTTGTCTTTTTCTATTCGTCTCCATTTTTTTCTTTTTTTGTCCCAACTCAAACTTATTTTTAAGATAATGTCTCTTACGGAACATAGAGCTCATTGATTGGCTAGATCAGTTGACCAGCAAGCCCAGGAATCCTCCGCATCCCCAGTGCTAAGGTTATAGGCACACACTGCATAGAGTACTAGGGATCTGAACTCCAGATCTCAGGTTTGCATAGCAACAGTAAACACCTGACCAACTGGGCCATCTCTGCAGCCCCAAATTTTCCTCTTTTAAAAAGACTTTTTTAGTGTTAGGCGGTGGTGGCCCACACCTTTAATCCCAGCACTCAGGAGGCAGAGTCAAGTGGATCTCTGTGAGTTCGAGGCCAGCCTGGTCTACAGAGTGAGATCCAGGACAGCCAGGGATACACCAAGAAACCCTGTTTCGGGGGCGGGGGTAGACGACAATTTTACAACATTACCAAAATCATATAACTTTGACTCAGCAATTCTACCTGAGAATTTGTTACGTACATTTCTGTACAAATATTCAGAGATATAGACATGAACATTATTTGTTAATAGCAAAGAAACAATCGTAAATATTCAATAGGAGGCAATTGGTTCTATGTATTATAAACGAAACATCCATGAAATATGAAGCACTTTTAAAAACAAGAGTGGTCTAGACATGCCTGTTTGGAATCACTTCTTTTCCCTATATGGTATGTGTGTGCACACAGAGGCAGAGGTTGGTATGGGGTGTCCTCCTCAATCACTCTCTGCCTTGTGTTCAGAAACAGCATCTCTTATTGAACCTGGAGCTCACTGAATGGCTAGGCTAGCTGGCCAGTGAACTCCTACGGTCCTCCTGCTGCTGCCTTCCAATGCTGAGATTACAACAATGTGAGGCCACATCTAGCATTTTTTATGTGGGTGCTGGGTATCCAAACTCAAGTCTTCATACTTACGTGGTAAATAAATACCCTTACCCACTGAGCCATCTCTCCATCAGCATACGAAATGTCTTCTATACTACTTTTAAGTGTGAGAAGTGGTGAATGGATGCATAATTATTTGGTGATCAAATGTTCAAATGCTGATGCTCTTGAAAATAGTAAATATTCATTTCCTATAATCAAGCCAGGTGGTGGTGGTACACACCTTTAACCTCAGCAGGGCAGGCAGATCTCTGAGTTCAAGACCAGCCTGGTCTACTGAGTTCCAGGAAAGCCATAGCTACACAGAGAAACCCTGTCTCGAAAAATCAAAAAAAAAAAAAAGATTTCTTTTCATTTTTTTTTTTTTTATTTATTTTTTTTTTTTGGTTTTTCGAGACAGGGTTTCTCTGTGTAGCTTTGCGCCTTTCCTGGAACTCACTTGTTAGTCCAGGCTGGCCTCGAACTCACAGAGATCCACCTGCCTCTGCCTCCCGAGTGCTGGGATTAAAGGCGTGCGCCACCACCGCCCGGCTTTCTTTTCATTTTAATTATGGATATGCATGTGTGTCTATGTATGGGTCTGTGCAGATGAGTACAGATGCCCATGTAGGAGAGAAGGCACAGAATCTCCTAGAGCAGGAAGTACAGGCAGTTGTGAGGTGCTGGGAACCCAATCTGGATCACCTCCAAAAGCAAGACATACTCCTAACCACTGAGCCATCGTTCTAGCCCCAGCCCCAGCCCCCATTCCCCACCATCACTCTTAACTACAAATATGTGAGTTTAGGGAAATAAATAGACTTCTAGAAATATTCTCCATTTCATTTTCTATATTAGAAGTACTTATACACAAATTAATATGACCTTAGGTGATAATTGTTTCAAACATTAATTTACCACTGTAACATATAAATTAATCAAAACTATATACCTTTCTCCTTTATATTCTTCTAGGGAAATTTCTTGAAAAGCATCCAAAGGAAATAAATGATGGTAAGATCGTGCCAAATGAGGTGCAGACACCAAAGTAAGACCTAATGCATAGACAGAAACATTAATAAGCACAACCTCATAAGACAATAGCTGAAAAGTCAAATGATACACTTAGAAAAAATACTTTCAAGTGTTTTATTTCTATTTTTCTAGTGGTGGGGATCAAATCTAGGGCCTCACACACACTAAAAAACCTGCCATTACGCTACATATCCAGCATGCAAGTATTTTTAGGATCTTGAGTGTTTTTCATTCTGTCACTAAATGCATCACCTCTCTTGGAAAACTACTGACTTACTCAAAAATGAAAGAAGATCTTAGAATTATATTAATTCCTCATTCTACTTATATATGATGATTTTATTAAATCCCAAGTATGTCTACTATTTAATCTATTATAGTGTTTTAAATAATACATTTATCAGAAAGAGAATCATGAAACTTCTATAATACTATGTTTATTCTTTAGAAGTGGATTACTTCTATTTCCTTTGTACAAATTAAACACATAATAAGCAGGACTCAATAATTAGGTTTATTTCAGCAGCTATACAGATAGGAAGTTACTTAATACTAATTCCCTGCGTAAAGAATAACAGGGCTCTTACCACATATTTTACACTCCACAGGAAGCTCAGAGTACTTTGCTCGACACTGTGGGCAGAAATAGCCTCCCAGTGTAAGTCCTGGCTCGGTGCTATTATCCAAATGCCTGTGGGAGAAAACAGTTATTTTTAAAAGGTGAAAAAAGCTAAAGAAAATATATAACTCGATCTCAGCACTCAGAAGACAGAGGCAGGCAGCTCTCTGTGAGTTCACGGCCAGTCTGGTCTAATAATGAGTTCCAGGCCAGTCAGGGCTACAAAGTGAGACACTGCCTAAAAATATATATATATATATATATATATATATATATATATATATATATATATATATATTTTAAATACATAAATGAGTAAAATCTTATTTGAAAACATGTATGTCTCGTCACTCACTAATGGTGTCCCTTCTGTCTTCCTTTTATTTTGAAGTTTCTCCTGCTGTCTCTGAATTCATTACTTTCTCTTTCTCTTGCAGTGACTAATCTGTTAATCCCATCTAATGTGTTTTTTCTTTTTAAGCTTTATTTTTAATTCCGTGTGTGTGTGTGTGTGTGTGTGTGTGTGTGTGTGTGCATCTGTGAGTGGGTATGTGCACATGAGTACAGGTGCCCAGAGACAGAGGTGTTGGAGTGCCCTGGACCTAGAGCTGCCCAGTGTAGGCACCAGGAACCGCTGAGCCATCTCTCCAGCCCTCCAGTGCACTTTCATCATAGGTATTACACTCTCCATTTCTAGTTTGAGTCTTTTTTTTTTTTTTTTTTTTTTTTTGGTTTTTTTTGAGACAGGGTTTCTCTGTGTAGCTTTGCGCCTTTCCTGGAACTCGCTTTGGAGACCAGGCTGGCCTCGAACTCACAGAGATCCACCTGGCTCTGCCTCCCGAGTGCTGGGATTAAAGGCGTGCGCCACCACCGCCCGGCTAGTTTGAGTCTTTTTACACATTTTCAAGCTCCTCTTCACTTAGAGACTTATAAAGTGTATTTACATTGGCTATTTTAATCGTCATCTCCTAATTCTAGTGTTTTCTGGCTGCTTCCATTCTGTACTTTTTCTCTGTTATTCTCGTTCTCTCCTATTCTCTCTAGGGAAATTCCCCCCCACACCTATTTCTTCCCTCTTTCCCACCCCCTCCTTTTCCCCTTCTCTGCCTCCATCTCTCCTCAGTGTCTCTACATAACCCAAGCCAGCCTCATATTTGCCATTACCCTCCCATCTCATCCCCAAGTGCCGGCATGTAACGAAGTACATCAGCACCGCTGGCAGCCTAGTCATTTCTGCATGCTGTCAGATGCTGTAAGTTGTGTTGTTCTGGGTGCTAACTTTTTTCTCCATAAATATTTAGAGCTTTGTTTCAGAATAAAGTAACTCAGCCAGGCAGTGGTGGTGCATGCCTTTAATCCCAGCACTCGGGAGGCAGAGGCAGGTGGATCTCTGTGAGTTTGAGGCCAGCCTGGTCTACAGAGTGAGATCCAGGAAAGGCGCCAAAGGTACACAGAGAAACCCTGTCTTGAAAAACCAAAATAAATAAGTAAATAAATAAAGTAACTCAGATACTTACTGATCTACTCAAAATTTGTCTGAAGTATCACTGGTCTGGTCTAGATCAGCCACTGACCTAATCTGGCCCCATTACTATGCTCTACCAAACGTCTTGTGTGCAGCTTTTTCCACCTGGCTCTGTCCCAGCTCTCCTTTCCTTTTTAGTAAACTTTTTTTTTTTTTTTTTTAAAGATTTATTGATTGTGTATATAGTGTTCTGTCTGCCTGGACGCCAGAAGAGGGCATCAGATCTCATTACAGATGGCTGTGAGCTGCCATGTGGTTGCTAGGACTTGAACTCAGGACCTCTGGAAGAGCAGTCAGTGCTCTCAACCTCTGAGCCATCTCTCCAGCCCTCCTTCCCTTTTTATTCTGAGAAGGGCCTCCTCAAGTTACCCAAGCACCAAGGTTAACTTTTTTTTTGGCCCAGAGTGACCCAAACTCAAAACTATCACCTTGTCTCAAGTCTCCTGAGTCCTGGAATTACAGGTGTGAGCTGTCATGCCTCCCCCACCTTTAATTTAGATGACTGGAAATATATTATACATTCTACCTTACCATTTTATTTAGCAATATATCCTGACTATCACAGAATAGACATATACAAAGAGGGTCATTTCTTTTTATGGCTATGAAAATCATTATATTTTAAGACCTATTTAAGTTAAAACTTAAGAGGAATGAATTTTAAATGTTAAAACATCACTGACAATTGTTCTTTACTTACGCCATGCTGAAGGATGGTTTTGCATCCTGATCAGACAAAGAAGCAATGGTGTGCTGAGGGAAACCTTTATAAATTAAAAAAAAGTAAAGCATTACTTTTATTTTTTTTGTAAGCAAAGAACACAATTTTAGGACTATGAATCTAAAAATAGTCCTATCAGAAAGTCAACAAAGTTGTATAAAAGCTCTTTCCTACCCTTTAGGTATAGATATGCCTATCATAATATGATGAAACTCTAATTCCAAGACATAAGGAAAAGGGGAAATGATCTAGCTACACATATGACCTCACATTCCAAATTTTACATCTACATTTTAATTTAGTAATATTACATCTAAAAAAAAAAGTTCACACATTTTATACAGCTTCTAATACAACTAAACATATATTACATGATATAGTTTCTCTTTATCTAAGCACAAATTTCTGTTTAAATTTTTGAAATCTGGAGGAATAGATATAGAAGGAATTAGAGGACGAAACAGGACATAAAAATGATCAAAATATATTGTATTTTTTTATGTATGTACGAAATTCTCAAAAAAATTACTAATTTTTTGAAATGCACAAACTTTTCATTTAATTTATTTTCCATATACGATTTAAAAATATGAATACATGTTCAGGAAAAGCAGAAACCAGAAGAATGAGAACAAGACAGAGATCATTACATAAAGCTGAAAAATGAATCTACAAATAAAAAAAAGAAACAGATTAAGGGAAATTCAGTGTATGGCATGTGTTTAGTATGTACAAGGCCTGGGGTTTGATCTCCAGCATCACAAAATAATTAAATATATGAACAAATAAAAGCAAAGGTGCCGGGCGGTGGTGGTGCACGCCTTTGATCCCAGCACTCGGGAGGCAGATCCAGGCGGATCTCTGTGAGTTTCAGGCTAGCCTGGTCTACAGAGCGAGATCCAGGACAGTCAGGGCTACACAGAGAAACCCTGACTGGGGGGCGGGGGGTCCCTGCAAAGGCAGTGCAGTATGACATGCCAGCGGTCCCAGCTACTTAGGGGCCAAGGCAGGAAGAGTACATGAACCCTGGGATTTGAGGCCAGTAGGAGCATCAGATGCATGAAGAGATGAAGAGAAAGTATTCAAAATAAATTATAAGTTTAAATAATAACTTTCAAATAGAGTTAAAAATCTATCACTAAATTTAAAAGACTGGCCAACATGTCACTGAAAAATATACTAAATATTTACATCAAGGATTATTCTAGGGGCTGGAGAGATGGCTCAGCAGTTAAGAGCACTAGCTGCTCTTCCAGAGGAACTGGGTTCATTCCCAGCACCCACATGGCAGCTCACAACTGTCTGGTGCCATCTTCTGGTGTCCAGATGTACATGCAGATAAAGTATCCATATACATAAATAAGTAAATCTACAATAAAATAAAATGCATTTTGTAAGGAAAAAAAAGAATTATTCTAAATTCGTCATCTGTATTAACTCATTCTTCCAACACACAGTTAAGTTATACTAACACAGTTCACAAAAACAACAACAAAAGCACAGGAGAAAGAGTTACCAGTATCACAAACGGTCAGAACAAAGGCAGAAAAGCAGGACACTCTTGTAAACGCCAAGCATAGTGACGCACATCTTTAAACCCAGCACTTCAGAGGAAGAGGCAGATAATCTCAGTGAGTTCCCGGCCAGCCTGGTCTACATAGTGAGTTCCAGGACAGCCAGGACTACATAGAGAAACTCTGCCCCGGGGGGGGGGGGGGGGGGGGGGGGGGGGGGGGGCATTAAATGATCATCTTTATAACTAATCATTTCCTACTCCTTGTGGGGGGAAAAAATGAGTAATTTGGTGTACTCACTGCAACTTTCTGTTTTTGTAGTTTATATGATATACTTTGATTACATAATAAAGATTTTGTAGCTTATTTAAGAAATTTCTTACCACAAGTATTTTTCATTAAATAAAATACCTTTGGTACTGGACTAGGCCCTCTGGATAAGTGAGACAGTTGTTTAGCTTGAACTGTTTAGGGGGCCCCCAGGCAGTGAGACGGGGACCTGTCCTTAATGCATGAGCTGGCTTTTTAGAACCTAGTGCCTATGCTGAGACACTTTGCTCAGCCTTGGTGCAGGGAGGAGGGGCTTGGACCTGCCTCAGCTGAATCTACCAGGCTGGGCTGGGGAGACCTTGCCTTGGAGGAGGTGGGAATGGGGGGTGAATTGGGGGGAAGGCTGGGGGGTGGGAGGAGGGAGGAGGGAGGACAGGGGAATCTGTGGTTGATATGTAAAACGAATAGAAAATCTCTTAATAAAAAAATATGTATTGCTGGAGAGATGGTTCAGAGGTTAAGAGCACCGACTGCTCTTCCAGAGGTCCTGAGTTCAATTCCCAGCACCCACATGGTGGCTCACAACCATCTGTAATGAGATCTGGCGCCCTCTTCTGTGAATATAATAAATAAATAAATCTTTAAAAAAAAAAAAATGTATTACCAAAAAAAAAAATAAAATAAAATAAAATACCTTTGTATCTTCCTAGCTTAACAAGAAGGCCAGAAATGTTTGCATATGGCATGACTATAGGTAACTTTAAATTTCTCTTCATTGTATAAACATGCTTCAACATGCATTTTTTTTATTATAAAGGACTTAAGTAAAAAAAAACAACCCTTAAATGTTAAAACAATAACTTGCACAAATGAAAACAGAACGCCTAGTTTGAACAAAAGCACACATGCAAACCAACACCAAAGAAACACGTACCCATTCGAATGAGTGAGCACTCGGAGCTGGAGCTGGCAGGGGGAGGGCTAACATGATGGGTCAGCAGCTCTTTGTAATGGACTTCATCTAAAATAACATGGTATGTGCCTAACAAGCAAAAGCAAAACACAGCAGTTATAAAGACAAGAGCGTCTGTGTAAGTCTATGGAAGTTTCATCCTATGAAATTATACAACTCATAACCACTTTAAGTAAATTTTCATTGAAAAAATAATTTAAGTAAACTCTCAATCAAATTCTCTAGGCATGATAGTAACGAAAATTAAAGCCAAGCTACACAGTCTTTACAAAGTATTACATATAGTAAGGTTACTAACTTTTTGAAAGTTATAACTCTAAACATTGACCTACTGAAAATTCCTTGCATTTGAAGTGGTTGCTTTGAAAGATCAATGGTCTATATTTTGGACCACAGACATAAAATGGTTTAAGTTTAATGGTGTAAAACATCCTACTTAATTAATAAATTATTTCTTACACAGTAATTATAATTATTGAAGATAGTAGATATATACCACCAGTTTCACGAGCAAGTACAGTGCAAACTCGAACCTCTGCAGATAATCCAATAACAGACACTCTAATTTTAGCTGCCTTCAGGGTCTTCACGAGATCCAAAAAGATGAAAGATTTCAGAAGAAAAAGAAAAATACTTATGAATAATAACTTTGAAAAATAGTGTTCTGAAAACTAGTGATAAATTTACTACAGCATTTTCTTTAGAGTCTAGTTTCAGTTTTGGTCTTACCTTGATAAGATCATAAATATTAGACGGATCACAGGTTGTAAGGCTACTAAAGATGATAAGTACTTCTCTACTTGTATGTCCAGGCATGTGTCTATAAAGAGAGGTGAAGATACATTCCAACAGATCAAACAAATTATACTAGCTAAAAATTTATCCAAAAGGGAGAGTACACATGCTTTATACATTTAAGCTACAAGGTGAGGTAATGAATGTTAATAAAGTTACAGCCAATTCACGATTATTATTTGGTATTAAATTCTAAATTTCAACAGGCAGTGGTGGCGCACGCCTTTAATCCTAGCACTTGGGAGGTAGAGGCAGGCGGATCTCTGTGAGTCTGAGACCAGCCTGGTCTACAGAGCTAGTTCTAGGACATTCAGGGCTACACAAAGAAACCCTGTCTCAAAAAACCAAAAAGAAAAAAAGAAAAAAAAAATTCTAAATGTAAATCTTTCTCTCAGCAGGGTCTTACTATATAGCACAAACTCATAAGTTTCCTGCCTTAGCCTCTGGAGTACTGGGATTACTAGCATGCAATGCCACACCTAGCCATTCAATTCATTCTCAATTTTTTTTCATAATTCTTGTGCCCTGCTGTGAATTTTGTTGTATTTTTCTAAATCCATTACAGATATACTTTAACTGGTAAAATATAAATTAAAAATAACCAACATCAAAATAAAAACCATGCATGACATTTTAGAATTTTTCCACTTAACTTTTGTTAAAACAGGCTTCATGAAGACCCAATACAACTCATAGAAAAAAATTCTGAAACAATTATAAGTAATAATATAAACTGGTTATGGTTGTACATGCCTGTAATCTCAGCACTGGGGAGGTGGAGACAGAAAATCAGGAGTTTAGGTCATCCTCAGCTACACAGCAAGCTGGAGGGCAGCCTGGGCAACATGGGGAATGCCATCTTAAGAAAGGAAGAAAGGGAAGGGAAGAAGAAAGAAAGGAGAAGGGAAAGAGGAAGGAGAGGAGGAAGAAAGGAAGGAAGGAAGAAACAAAGAAAGAAATGGGGCCTGGAGAGATGGCTCAGTGGCTACAAGCACGGATGTTCCTGCAGAGGCCCAGAGTTCAAATCTCAGCACCCATGCTGGGCAGTTCACAAAGGCCTGTAACTCTAGTTCCAAGGGATCTACACTCTCTTCTGGCCCACTCTGCTCATGTACACATACACACATATACACCCACACAGTCACATAATGAAAAATAAAATAAATATATTTTCAAATACTAACTTCAGGGTTTGCATAGCCATGCTTAAGGAATTATAGAGAGATGGTTCTCCATGACAGGTCATATCTACAGCTTTCTTCAAAGATGTTATGTGTTTCCTGGGGTTTCCTAAAGAAAAATGAAATAACTTTTAATAAAACTCTCTATATAAATATAGAAAAGCATGTTGTTTACAACTGTACAAATTTATGATTTTAAAGGACAGAATGCCTTCAATTTCTATTTTTATCAATTTGCATTTTTATCAGAAATGTTTGTAGACAGTCTCATTTCATACTGAAATGTGTATATATATATATTATATATTTTGCTATATATAGGTACATCTGTATCCATTAATATAACTTTACAATTAATATTAACCTAGAGTGAATAATTTTTACTCTGAATATCTCTACATCTTATCATTTGTAAGATCAGTATTTTCATATTTTAGCATCTCTGAAGCAGGAAGATTGCAGGTTCTAGGCCAACCTGGGCTACATAGTGTCAAAAAACAAAACAAGGGGCTGGAGAGATGGCTCAGCAGTTAAGAGCACTGGCTGTTCTTCCAGAGGTTCTGAGTTCAATTCCCAGCAACCACATGGTGGCTCACAACCATCTGTAATGAGATCTTGTGCCCTCTTCTGGCCTGCAAGCATGCATGTAGAGAGAACACTGTATACATAATAAATAAATAAATCTTTTTTAAAAAAAACAGTAAAAATTATCTAGAAAGATTATTGACATGAAAGATTAATTTTTATGTAGATGAGCAAAGAAAAAAGCAATGAGATATAAATTTGGATTAGTGAGGTAAATATTCATAAAAAATATCCTAACTCAATATTTTTCTTGGGGGAAGAAAACAAGTATTCACAAAGATCTAAAAAAGGAAGACTCAACAAATAAGCAATGTATGACTTTCTGTAACATCTGAGAGGACTGAAAGAACAGTTGACAGATTATCACCAAGACACTGTCATAACCAACTCACAGGTAACTGCTAGGCTTTTCCACCTTTTCCTGTTTTGTTTTGCTGGGTTTTGAGGACCTGAGACTGATCTTACTACATAGCTCAGAACAACCTCAAACTCACTAACCCAGGGTGGCCTGAACTTGTAATTCTCCTGCTTCAGTCTCCTGAGTATTGGGAATACAGGTTTGCATAACATCCGGTTTATTTTGTAATGGTGTTGGTCTTTTCTAGCATAAACTGTCTACTTTCATTTTCTAACAATCCAGTAAGTGAAATGACGTGTTGAAAGACACAGACCTACTTAATGGTGGGAGCACCGACACCCAAACCTAGACCTCCAGGTTCTCTGGTCACTCTCCCCACTACCATCCCCCACAAAGTATTTACAATCCACTGTGATGTGGGCACAGGGGAAATGCAGACTACCTCAGTCTCAGTGTGGCTTACAGCAATGGGCTGACTGTAAGGAGAGAAGCTGTCCAAGAGGCTTAAGAGAGTCTCTAAAGGATATTTCATCTTTTCAACATATGAATTCTCTGGCATCTATAGAAAACCGCTTTGAATTTGAGGACAGGGAAGAAGCAAAGAGAGCTGGCTTATCCTCTTCCTTAGAGGGCCACTCCTTTCTCAATCACAAGATGACCCTACTTAGTCTGTGGTGCTGGCCTTCCTCCACTCTGCTATGGCACAGCATGTAATCTAAGCCAACCAAATAACATTCATCTCCCTGGCTGCTCCAACAGCCGCTGGATACACAAACCTTGAGTAAGGCCAACAGGAATCCTACTGAAGTGATGCTGAAGCTATGGACTACACTGGCCATACCAACTTGGAGCTATTAAAAGACATCATTTTTCTTAAGAGAATGAAGTCAGACAAAGCCAGGATCCCTAGAAACAGCTACATGAGAAATCAGCCCACCTTTGAACATATGCCAGTTTCCTTTTGCAGTGAAATTACTTTTGAGTTGATTTGTGGGGGTTTTGTTTTTGTTTTTTATGTGTATGGCTGTTCTAGCTGCACACATGTCGATGCACCATGTGTGTGCCTGGTGTCCCTACAGACCAGAAGATGACATCACATAGAACTGGAGTTACAGATGATTATGGGCCGATGTGGGTGCTAGCAATTGAACTTGGATCCTCTGGAAGAGCAGCCAGTGTTCTTAACTACTAAGCCATCTCTCTCGCCCCTGGTTTTGTTTCTTATGGTACTAGTGATTAAACCAGGGCCTTATTTATTAAGCCTCATCCCTAACATTCCCTAAGACGATTTAGTGGGGATTATTGTCAACTGATTTCCTGGCACACTTTTGGCAAATGTATATTTGATTCCTTATGGCTAGAGTAAGAACTATTAGTGAACAAAGTATGTCATGTCATCTCCCTTATGTGTACTAATAGAAAAGACTGAGAACCTAATTTAAGGGACAGTATATTTTACAAAATATAGTGATATAAATTTGTAACAGCATATATAATAAAGGCAAAAGAAACTGCCATTAATTTTTTAAAATGTTTTATTTATTTACTTATGTGTATGACAGTTTTGCCTGCATGTATGTGGTCAGAAAAGGGTGTCAGGTCCCCTGGAGTAACAGACAGTTCTGAGTGTCCATGTGAGTGCTAAGAACTAACTCAGGTCCTCTGCAAGAACAAGTGCTCTGAGCCATTTCTATATCTATTCATAAATAGCCCAATTCAATTTCTATGCTTTTTAAATCAGACATTGTTAGTTTGAAAATTATGTGAATTTTATGAATAGTTAACAATTAGGCTATATTATTATTTTCAGGATAAGAATGTATATTTAAATAAATATGTTTACTTCCAATGCAATACATCCAACACTTCAGAACTCAATTTGAAACAATAGTAGGTCCCAAGAATTCAGTAGAGAGACAGTAAGTTGTTCACGTACAATGAATAGAAATTTCACTTTACTTATCAGGGAGCCAGATGGGCAAGATCACAGAGTTAGGTAAGCAAAGAGCCTTATAAAGATACTTTTATCATACCTGAGAGTTCAGTCAGTTTTTCAGCTCTTTTACTCTTAGTTACAATTATTCCAATCTCAAAATGAAAACAAAAACATAATTATTTTAATATAACGAAGTATTTCCTCTTCATAAAAAACTATAAATTAGTAACTGTAAAGGAAAATACATGAAATGTTTTCTAATGGTGTTTTCGACAAATCAAGCTATGATCTATGTATTATTAAAACACAGTACATGTTCAACTTTTAGTTATTTTGCTTTCACTATTAAGTATACCAAAAATAGGTATATAATCTGGTTTCTTAATACTTCACAGAACATATGCCTCATTTTTTAAAAATAAATTGTATTTGGCAACAAAATGGGAATCTAGTTCTGAATTCTACCATTTATCTACATACCTGACTGATAGGATTTTGATCAAAATATTCTTCTACAAAGTATTCCAACAACTGTTGAAAAAAAATTAAAAGGAAGTATTATATACAGGCAAAGCAGCGACAATAAAAACATGTCAGTGTTCTGTAGAATCTATTTATTAAGCAGCACTTCTCACAACTTTTAGAAGAGACAAGGATATCAGTGACAGTGTCTCACTCTGCACCTGTCTACCCTCACTCACTCACTCTCACTGTGCACACCTGTCTACCCTCACTCACTCTCACTGTGCACACCTGTCTACTCTCACTCACTCACTCTCACTGTGCACACCTGTCTACTCTCACTCACTCACTCTCACTGTGCACACCTGTCTACCCTCACTCACTCTCACTGTGCATACCTGTCTACCCTCACTCACTCTCACTGTGCACACCTGTCTACCCTCACTCACTCACTCTCACTGTGCACACACACCTATCTACCCTCACTCACTCTCACTGTGCATACCTGTCTACCCTCACTCACTCTCACTGTGCACACCTGTCTACCCTCACTCACTCACTCTCACTGTGCACACCTGTCTACCCTCACTCACTCACTCTCACTGTGCACACCTGTCTACTCTCACTCACTCACTCTCACTGTGCACACCTGTCTACCCTCACTCACTCACTCTCACTGTGCACACCTGTCTACCCTCACTCACTCACTCTCACTGTGCACACCTGTCTACCCTCACTCACTCACTCTCACTGTGCACACCTGTCTACCCTCACTCACTCACTCTCACTGTGCACACCTGTCTACCCTCACTCACTCACTCTCACTGTGCACCCCTATCTACCCTCACTCACTCACTCACTCTCACTGTGCACCCCTATCTACCCTCACGTACTCTGGGCTGGAGAGTTGGCTCAGTGGTCAAGAACACTAGCTGCTCTTCCAAAAGACCTGGGTTCAATTCCCAGCACCCACATGGCAGCTCACAACTGTCTGTAACTTCAGTTTCAGGGGATCTGACACACTCACACAGACATACATGCAGGCAAAACACCAATGCACATAAAATGAAAATAAACTTAAAAAAATGACCTGGCAGCATTTCTACGTAGTTAACATTTGTTATTAGTTGGAAAAACAAGGCAAAACAAAATTTCCTACATTCTCTTTTTTTTTTTTTTTTTTGGTTTTTGAGATAGGGTTTCTCTGTGTAGCTTTGCACCTTTCGTGGAACTCACTCCATAGGCCAGGCTGGCCTTGAACTCACAGAGATCCACCTGGCTCTGCCTCCCGAGTGCTGGGATTAAAGGCGTGCGCCACCACCACCGGGCATTTCCTACATTCTTAAACATACATATGTACATATAAAATCTTTCCCTACATTTAGCAGATTTAAATGATTTTACTATACCTTTAAAGTACAAGTCAACCTATTGGGCTTTAGATCTTGATCCTCCATTGTTCTCGAACCATCTACTACCACATACAGGTGGCGCATCTACCAAAAACAAACAAGGGAATAAATCTCCAGGTACGTTTTGAGAAGAAGCAAAGATATCATTTAATATTCAACTATCCTATACATACATTTTAAATATATCCTTTTAAAAAGTAGTTGTTTTACCATCTATTCTGTCAAGTCAGAATATTTCTCTGATCCCTGCACAAATCAAAGAAAAAGATCAAAACATACCATTCCAAGTCGAACTTGTCCATGGTGCTCAAATACTCTGTTAAAATTATAAAAAATACTTTATTTGAACACCATATGCCTCCAAAAACTCAATGAAATAACTAATCTGTACTTTTTAGTGAACTATTAACTTTTGGAATACACACGGATAGTCTCTGAACACCACTTTCCAAGGGGGGCAGGGCTAGATGCTAGTTCTTCACCCCGAGTCGGACAATTACGGATGAGCTTCTCTAACACACAGTTAAAAAGAAGTGCTAAGGATGGCTAGAGCAGACAGAAGGGCCTCAAGAATATATTTTCCTTTTGTAACTCTTTCATAGAAGCAATTCGTACCTTTTTCTCTTTGCTTTGAAGAGAATATCTTCTATCGTAGCTTTAAGTGATCCAGTTTCATCTTCTTTAAGAATTTCCCTGTAAGCATTATTTATTTGTTTGAAAAGATAAGCTAAACATACTAACCCAATAAAAATTAAAATGTACAAAGATTTGTATACGTATGTTTGCATCAGCACAATCCACAATAGCCAAAAATTGGAACTGATCTAAATGTCCATCAAATGCTGAACAAATAAACAAAAATGTGGTATAACAGTATATGGGACACTATATACTATACCAGCAATTACAAAAAAAATTACATGGATGAGCTTTGAAATTTACATAGAATGTGCAAGAAAGGTGAATCTACAAATCATAGATTCATAGTTGTCTACAGGTGGTGGCAATGGAATGTGTATGAAGGAACTAATTGCTATGATTAAAATGTTCTAAAAGTAGTTTATGGCAAAAGCCATACATAAGAGTAAACTGTCTTCAAAAATTCCTTCAATTACACATTGAGGTGCATGAATCTTAACATATATAAAACACTTTAATAAAACTGAAGTTAAGAAAAAGAGACAATGTCTACAACATAGGACAATGACTCTCTACTTACCATGTTCTCTCGTAGCCTCCTTCCCACCGCTTAGTTCTTTCAGGCTCTTCATCCATGTTCTTTAGAATGATATGTATTTATCCAACACTGTAAAAAAACATTGGATCACAAGTTTTCTAAAGACAGTTATTACAAAATGAATCTAATTTCTTGATAGTTAAGGACAAGTTTAAAATATCAGAATAAAGAATACATTTTATTCTTGTAGTTTATTCATTAACTCTTCTGTGAAAACACAAAACTCTCATGAAACTTTTTCCTATTTCCTATAAAAGATATGAACATTTCAAACCTGGCACCAGTAAAAATAAGCATATTTTTGAAGCTTGTAAAACAATAAAAATTGTTTCATGGACGTCACTGGACAAGAATTCTGATAAATAAGTATAAGATTAGTCACAACCAACAATTATTATAGCTGAGTGACCAATACGAAGCAATTCATTGTTCTTTCTCTCCTCTGTGTAAGCTTGAATTTTCTCATGATCACATTTTTTAAAGAGAAATTTATCAGGCAGCCGGGGGTGGTGCACACCTTTAATCCCAGCACATGGGAGGCAGAGGCAGGCGAATCTCTGTGAGTTCAAGGCCAGCCTTGTCTACAAAGCAAGTTCCAGGACAGCTAGGACTATTACACAGAGAAACCCTGTCCCGGGGGGAGGCGGGGGGATTACATATGGAATATGACCTTAACTGTTTTTTTTTTTTTTTTTTTGGTTTTTTGAGACAGGGTTTCTCTGTGTAGCTTTGCGCCTTTCCTGGAACTCACTTGGTAGTCCAGGCTGGCCTCGAACTCACAGAGATCCACCTGGCTCTGCCTCCCGAGTGCTGGGATTAAAGGCGTGCGCCACCACCGCCCGGCTGACCTTAACTATTAAAGGAAGAAAATAAAAGGAAATTTTTGATCATTCAGTATTACAGTTGTGCATGGTGGTATATGCCTATAATCCCAGCAGTGCACTCCACAGGAGGAGGCACAGAGATCTCTGATTTTTTTAGGTCAGCCTGGTCTACATAATAAGTATTACAAATGATTTCATCTGCATGACAGAATTAAGATTAGCTGGAGTTTTCTGCCCTTTAATTATTATATATATTCACATTATATCTACTTCTTTAATAATTAAAGACAAAATTGCTGAGGATAACTCACAACTATAATCCCGGCTGGAGGTTAGCAGCAAGTCTGAGACCAGTGCAGTCTACAGAGTGAGCTCCAGGCCAGTCCGGCTACAAAATGAGACTATCTCAAAAAAGGAAGGGTGAAAAATTGATATTTTTATCCTCCTTTTATAGCACTGTCTCTATAGAAAAGGAAAGAGGAAAATGGGCTAGGGATGTAGCTCAGTTGAGAGTGCCGCCAAGTATGCACAAACCCTCAGTTTGAGAAGGGCGGCACAGGCTTGTAACCCCAGCACTCAGTGGAGACAGCAGGGTCAAAGTTCAAGGTTAGGGTCAGGCAGTGGTGAACTCTTTTTTTTTTTTTTAAATATTTATTTATTTATTATGTATACAGAAGAGGGAGCCAGATCTCATTACAGATGGTTGAGAGCCACCATGTGGGTGCTGGGAATTGAACTCAGGACCTCTGGAAGAGCAGTCAGTGCTCTTAACCTCTGAGCCATCTCTCCAGCCCCAGGTGAACTCTTTTTATTCCAGATCTTGGAAGACAGAAGCAGGTGGGTCTCTGTGAGTTCAAGGCCAGCCTGGGATACATGAGACCCTGTCTCAAGGGGGAGGAGGTTCCTTCAGACATGAAGACCTGAGTTCTTATCCCCAGCACTCACATACAGACACATCTGTAATCCCAGCCCTAGAGGATAGAGGCAGGATTGAGAGGAGGCAGGAGAACTTGGTGGCCAGCCAGGCCCTCCAATCAATATGCTCCAGGCTCAGGAAGAGACCCTATCTCAAAAAAGGCGGAAAATACAAAAAGACACTAGGCATCAATTTCTAGGGTACGCACGGATAAACCATACACACACAACACACATATTCACCAAAAACAGGAAATATATACATACATATGGGGAAGGGGGTGTCGTGGTAATGTGGTGAACGCTTAAGACAAGATCTCACTCACTATGCAGCCCTACTAGGCTGGAACTCCTTTAGCCTCTCAAGTGCTGAGGTTACAGGTATGAGCACTTGGCTTGGAAACTTTGTTTTTTAAATCTACAGAACTGAGCAGAGTGAGATAGCCCACATTCAGGAGGCAGAAGCAGGAGGGTCTCTATTTTGTTTGGTTGAAACAGGGTCTCTCTATGTAGCCCTGCTAGGCTGGAACTAAATATCTACACCAGGCTGTCCTCAAACTCAGAAATCTGCCTGCCTCTTGCCTCCCAGGTGCTGGGATTGGAGGTGTGTGCCAACTCTATGTTGAAGTGTGTGACATACACAGCTGACTCTGTCTCAGAAAACAAAACAAAACATACACACCAAAAAATTGCTCACTGAAGAATAGACATGGACTTCTGGAATTTAAAACCAACTGACAAGTCAGAGAGTTGGAGACTTCCAAGGGGCTTTTTTATGAAACCTGCCACAATCGAATATTATTAGTTAAATTCTGTTTATTTCCCAGTGAATTTAGAAGTTTATTATCTCTGTAAGAGATGCATTTGTCTCAGAAAACCTGATAATTTGCCTGTAAAGGGTAAAAATATCTCAATCTGGTAAATGCTTGCCCAGACCCCCAAGCCCAAGAAAAACTGCCAGCGCGGACAGTTCCTATCTGAAACCTCAGGGGCAGATCTAAGGCCAGAAAATGATCCACTGAGCCTCTCACCCTCATACGCCCTTCCCCTCTCAAGCCCAAACCCTCAAGCCCCAGCCGTCACAGCGCAGTCTCCACTTCCACAGACTGTGGCCCTTCTGTTGCTCTATTAAAGAGCAATCCCGCTTCTGGAGATGCCCGTCTATCTTTTCTTTCCACGTCGCCTCCCTCGATCCCAGTGTAAAGCCTTGGCATCTTCAAAAACTAAAAGTGACAGTATTTTACAACGTGAGCTATTTCAATACTGTAACTATCTTGGTGCCATCCATCCGATGGATGTACTCAAGTAGTAAATAAAATGACTAAACTGAACATTACGATACCATGTTTTCTGCACTTAAGGTGAACACTAAAAATGAGAACTCTGCTCGAGATGGGCATAGTGGAGTACACCGGTCATCCCAGGACAAGTGGGATGTGCAAGTGCACACACACTTCGTATAATACTGCTTTTAAACGTTTAAAATATGGTTCCACCACATCAAAAATACTTTGTAGTTTTCTTTATTATTTGTATTATATTATATATATTATTCTATATATTTATATATTGTTATAATATTATTTATTATTTCTTATAATTTATCTCTTCTTTATTATTCTCTGAAGTTCAGAAAAAATAAGAACCACTGGATAAAAATTGTACAAACTGTGGCTCTTAAAAGGGCATCTTAATTAAAACTCTTATAACGGGCAATCTGACAGGGAAGGAGTTAAAAACTCCCCAAACTGCACATACACTAATCCATTTTCTGGAATCTCAGTCATCACACCCATCCACCCACCCCACCCCACCCCCGAGAAGCTAGAAGTCCACGGTGTGTTTGCTGTCCAAAGACCTGGGAATGCCATCAGCAAACACGAGAGCCGCAGCGCGCATGGCAACTGGCGAGGCTCTGCCTCACCTTACCCTGCCCGGCACGAGGATGACTGACAAGGGCGATTACTGTCCGTGACTTCCAGAACTGGACAGCTCTGGTGCCGCACACAAGCTCCAGATCACACAGCCAGAGGTCCGAGGCAAAGTGGAGGCCGTGCAGCGAGGACGCTCCTCAGCCTGCACCGGACTCGGCAGGCGGAAGCTGCCCGTCGCCCTGCGCACGCCCCTCCCTCCGCCTCCCAGGTCCCCCCCGAGGCCAGCCCCGGCATTACACCTCGGTCCTCTTCTCCAGGTCCCTCCTGTCCGCCTCGCACTGCAGCCTCCAAAGCCGCAGTGCCGCCCGCGCAGGCCTCCACCCGGGAACTCACGGGCCCTGGGGGAGACCACCCTCACCGGAAGTGACGTCAGCCAGAGACCGCCGCCAAAATGCCTCCGCAGAGCGCTGGGACCGCGCAAACAAAGGTTCCGGCGGCTGCGGGCAGAGGCTGACGGAGAAGGGAGCTAGGGAGAGATGGTGTCCGCGAGCTTACTGTGCTTTCAGGTGGCCGGCTCTGGGAGAACAAGGCTAGGGGAGTCTTCCAGAGAGAAGACAGCTGGGGAATCACCCAGAACAGGAACGTTCAACAATGCTAGCAGATGGGGGGAAAGCTCCACGGAAAAGGGAAACCGCGTGCGGCCTCGGAGGCAGAGGCATATGGTGTGGTTGAGGTACTGGCAGAGTGAGCGTGGGGCTGAACTTGTGGATAAAAAACGAATTAGTGATGACTCAAAGATTTCTACTGTGGGCTGCATTTCTGCAGGCGAAACAGCTAAAACTACGAGTTCCGGATATGTAACACATCGGTTTAGGGAGTCTGTTTTTAAATTTTATGTGTATGGACGGTTTTGCCTGCATGCATGTCTGTGCACTCACTATGTACGTGCCTAGTTGGAACGGGATACAGAATCTGGCATCAGATCCCATGGAACTGAAGTTACAGGTGTTTGTTATCTGCCAGGTGGATGGTGGGAATCAAATCCGGACCCTCTGGAAGTGCTCGGCAACAGGTGCTTTTGACCACTGAGCCATCTCTCCAGCCCCGTCCCCTAACACACACACACACACACACACACACACACACACACACACACACACACACACACACACACACACACACACACACACACACACCGAGCCCGCGCCTTAAAGCAAAAATAGAGGGGTTTTTTTTTTATTTCCCCCAATAAATTTCAAATACATTAAAAGCATATTTGTGAAGAAAACTAGGACACATTCAGACTTCCCAGTCATAACTTTAGCTCTGTTTAAATTAACTTTGTCTCTGTATTAATTTTAGAAAAGTGTTTTAAGACTAAACTAAGAAGATTAAAGGCACCCGTCACTGACCATATGCCCTCTCTGGCTTCTTTCTCTTTCATTTTTTAACATTTTTCCTTCCAACTCACTCCCTTCTGCAGTTCTCTTGGATTCCAGGAATGATAAGACTGATCGGTAAACATCTTCGAAAGGAACCAAAACTCCTCCCAAGCAAGAGCAAGCTAGCAGGACAGATCACTTCCCAAATGAGAGCAATTACCTATGGTGTAAGGCTGCATGCTGGCACTAGAGTAATCGCCTCATGGTAAACAGACTGCCCCAGAGTGATGACATCAATAACAAGTTCTCCAGAAACCTTTGCAGAACCAGAACTGAGCTGGCATAAGCAATCAGACCCTTGCCCTAAACCAGATCACGTGCTCTGTCACCCATGCAAACCACAAGCCTCTCCCATTCCTCTTTTCTATAAAATCTCTAAGTTCCTCTTAGTCCCTTGAAGCCAGACTTGGTATCAGCAAACCCCTTTATTTGTTTTTCTCATCATGGCCACCTTAATAAAAATCTTTCAGCCGGGCGTTGGTGGCGTACTCACGCCTTTAATCCCAGCACTCGGGAGGCAGAGCCAGGCAGATCTCTGTGAGTTCAAGGCCAGCCTGGTCTACAGCGCGAGATCCAGGACAGGCACCAAAACTACACAGAGAAACCCTGTCTCGAAAAACCAAAAATAAAAAATAAAATTAAAATTAAAATCTTCCTCTGCCATTCGTTCATCATTGCTTATCTCTTCGGCAAACTGAGACAGGTGGCCAAACATAGTCTGCGGGAACTCCTGGAAGTGGGGTGGGGGGTACTGCACTAAAACTACATTAACAAAGGTACTAAAAGCAGCCAGGCGGTGCTACACGCCTTTAATCCCAGCACTCAGGAGGCAGAGGCAGGTGGATCTCTGTGAGTTCGAGGCCAGCCTGGTCTACAAGGTGAGTTCAGGAAAGCCAAGGCTATTATTACACAGAGAAACCCTGTCACACACACACAAAGGTACTAAAGCAAAACAATGTACACAAATTCATGGTAATGTTAGTCTAATTATGACTAATATTCCAATCATATACAAAATAACAATAAAATTATCTTACCTAGTAAAATACTTTTTCAGTCTGTAAAACTAAGAACAACGGTAAAGAATTGAACAAGAGCTGGATATTATGGAACATACCTATTTTGCCAGAACGAGGCAGGCTGAGGCAGGAGGATTACAAGTTCAAGATTGGCCTGGGGCTACATCCTAAATCCTTGTCTCAAAAAAAAAAAAATACATATAAAATCTGTTGTTTGCTCATGGACAGCTGGACACAGTGCAATTAGAAAATCTGTGAGCAGCTCGGCTAGTGGAATGTAACTGAAATAAAGTGTTTTAACTTCAAAGACTGTGAGACGTGAACCTTTCCAAAACTTTTTTTGGGGATTGGGGATGGGGAGTTGGGGGGCAGTTTGCAGACAGGGTTTCTCTGTATAGCCCTTGCTATCCTGGAACTTGCTCTGTAGACCAGGCTGGCCTCAAACTCACAGAGATCAGCTAGCCTCTGCCTTCTTGGGTGCTGAGATTAAAAAGATTTATTTATTTATGTATGAGGGCTCTAGCTGCATGTACATCTGCATGCCAGAAGAGGGCATCAGATCCCATTATAGATCATTGTGAGCCACCATGTGAACCTCTGGAAGAATAGACAGTGCTGCTCTTGACCACTGAGCCATCTCTCCAGCCCCCATCCCAACACTTTTAAGTAGAAATTAAATGATTATAGAAAAAAAAATTCACTTTAAACTTTTATGGCTAGGGTGTAGACATGTATGACCTGGGTTTCATCCCCAGCACCACACATACACACACACCAACACACACACAAAGCACTGCAGTTTGCAAGTCACATAAAAGTTCTGCTAATAAAGGTTCATAATCCTCTGTCTTTATCTTCTGTAACATCTCATTGGCCCCTACACATATACAATTTTTAAAATTCATTTTTTTTTATTTTATGTGCATTGGTGTTTTGCCTGCATGAATGTCAGTGTGAGGGTATCAGAGCCTCTGGAACTGGAATTAGACAGTTGTGAGCTGCCATGTGAATGCTGGGAATTGAACCCAGGTCCTCTGGAAGAGCAGCCAGTGCTCTCAACCACTGAGCCGTGTCTCCAGCCCCAGTAATACAATTTGCTGTTGTAAAACTTTCTAACTTTGGAAGACAGGGTTACCTGGATATATTTATTATTTCACTTTTGACAAGGTCAGTTCTAAATCACACATTACTTCCATAAGATTACAAGTCTCTTTGCATTTCTGCAGACAGGACAGTGAACCATGTATGTGCTAGGCAAGCATTCTAGCTCTGTGTGGTATCTCTAACCCATGAACACCATTTAAAATTTTTTGTTAATTATGTGTATATGTGTCTGTGTGTCGGTTTATGCACACAGGGAAGGACGTGCCAGCAGAGGCCAGAAGAGTTAGTTACAGGCAGTTATGAGCCTCTCTTTGAGGGTGCTGAGAATAAAACTTAGGTCATCTGGAAGATGAGGAAGAGCTCATAACTGCTGAGCCATTGCTCCAGGAGCCCTCACCTCACCCCATTTTGAGAGTTTCATCATGTAATTCAGGCTGGCCTCAAACTCAGAGTAATCCTCCTGCCTGAGCAAGTGACAGAATTATAGGAGTACCTAACCATGCTTGGCTCTCAGATATCTTTTAGAGATACCAAAAGCCTGAGGTATCGGAGAGTTAAGCAATTTGCTGGACAGTGCACATCAAGAATGAGACAAGCCGGGCAGTGGTGGTACATGCCTTTAATCCTGGCACTTGTGAGGCAGAACCAGGTGGACTCTGTGAGTTCAAGGCCAGCCTTGTCTACAGAGCGAGATCCGGGACAGGCACCAAAACTACACAGAAAAACTGTGTCTCAAAAAACCAAAAAAAAAAAAAAAAGAATGAGACAAGATATACAAGTCTCGTGGCAACAGATGGAACTAGGGGGTTCACCCTTCCATATCTTGTCACAGCACTTAAAAACATCTGGGTTATATATTAATTACTTTTCCTTCACTCCAAAGAATCATTATGACAATTCTCTAGCACAGGACTTCCAAAAAACCACAAATTTACATTTGCTCATTTCTCCCCACTATGAGAAATGCTAACATAAAACACTTGAGGACAGCCGAGTACGGGAGCACACACCCATAATCCTGCCACTTGGGAGGCTTAGAAAGGAGGATCACAAGTTCAAGGCCAGCCTGAGGTACAACGTGAAACCTCATCTCTCAATAAATAAATAAACTCTGCCTAGTTATTTATCCTTTCAGATAGGCGATGATAGGGCAGTAGAACCAGCCAGGAGATCAAGCACAAATTCTAATTCTGGTTTCCCCAGATAAAACTTTGAAGAAGTTCAGACAAAAGAAACTTCTGTCTTGAAGCTGAAGCGTCCGTCCGTGAAGCCAGAGTCCCACAATCCACGATGAAAGCAGGCTTCTGTCCTGACCATTCTTGACCCGTTCAGGTCCTCACAGATTCTGCAGGTTCCAGATGAGGCATTTCATGTTAAAGTACTTCAAATGCATTCAAAACTAAAATACGGTTCTTCATTTACCCCGGAGAAAGCAGCCCTACATTACACAATACATCACTTAGCAGTCAATCTAGGATGGAAGAAGAGATAGAATTTACTAATCCAAAGGATCAAGCTTCCAACTTCAGTTCTAAACTCACTAGTATGAGACTCAGATAGTTAATGTATCAAATTATTAATTTCCAGCTGGGTGGTGGTGGCACACGCCTTTAATCCCAGCACTTGGGAGGCAGAGCCAGGCGGATCTCTGTGAGTTCGAGGCCAGCCTGGTCTACAGAGTTAGTCCAGAACAGGCTCCAAAGCTACAGAGAAACCCTGTCTCGAAAAACCAAAAAAAGAAAAAAAAATTATTAATTTCCTTATCCATAAAATAATAAGGAAGTTACATGCCGAAGACTGTTATGAGAATTAAATGAGATATCATGTATGTCTGTATATACAATTTTAAAATTTTTTTATTTAACTTT